AAGAATTTGAATGAAACCTGTCGTGTAATTTATTGGGGTTGTTGTAACGTCTTCCTTTAATGTAGTTCTTATCCTTCACCCCTTAACCACCTTTATCTAGAGACGAGACGCGTTAAATTTGAGCAACATCCAGCCGACACACTGGGGTTAAAATAGGAAACTAAAATGATACATATGACACACTCATATCCTCTCTCCCACCTCACTTCCTCAACTTTGCGTATACTTGATGAGGTCCGTAAAAAACGTGAATTTCTTTTCATTTCAGCTTTTGGAAGTAAAGTCTGATGATCCAGAACCCTGTTAAAGGGGTTATGGTGAAATAGATTATTACATGGAATCTTAACGTGGTCTGTCTTTTATTCAATATATATATATATATATATATATATATATATATAATGTATGTATATATGTATAAAGTTTGTTATATTTCTAGGGGTTAGAGTGCATAATATCGGAGTAGTATTTATAGATGGATTGTATTAATTTCTATTATACTCTCCTGCTCTCTATCTATCTATATATAGTTATGAAGAACTTGGTAAACCGAATTGGTAAATCCAAGGAGGATGAAATCCTGATGTGCGTAATTTTTATTTTTTTTAATTTTTAGATCTTATTAAAACTTGACAAGCATATGCGTAAGTGAAAATTTTAACTGAGTATTAAATTGTATTCTTTTCTGTGTCAGTATGCGGTCTTGTCGTGGGAACACAGGCTTTTTTTTTCTATTTTACCATAAGTGTCTGTATTCTGCGATCCATTCACACCAACTGGTTAATATGATTTCTCGCTGTCCCCTCCTGCTTCACTTACATTTACTATATCCTGTGAGTGTTAATTTCTCTAAACCTTCTTTCCGTATGTGACTATAGAAATTTGTGCTCTTCTAATTTTATTTATAAGTGTCATTTTCTTTTAAAATTCTTTGGTGCTCGCATATAAGTATCAGTTTAACGTAGTTACTAGTTTCTTTAAGATTTATTCTTTGGTCATATTTTCTGACAATGCTATTCTCATCATTCATCGTTAGAACCACACAGAGATAAAATAAGAAAATTTGAAAATCATATTTAATCTTTTAGCCGACTTTAGGCTAGAATGTAGAACTTTTTTTTTTTCTTTTTTTTTTTGGCTTACTGAAATGTAATAGAGATAGTCTGACACCCCCCTCCCCCGACTTAAACGACAAAAGATCCCCTGTGCTCAATCTGCGCGGACTGGGTGATGTCTCACGCGACCGAAAATTTGTGTACCGACCTCGATAGACGCCATAAAAACCAGCATTTGTTTACACCAGGGAGTTGCTTGAAGGGACGCTGGCAGTGCGACAGTAGCGAAGGAAAAAGAATTTCGATAACTCGGCTACAAGCTATTTCGGCTATATTGTAAACTATATCAGAAGGAAAGTTTGATATCAAACTTATATCAGAGTTTGACGACTCAGCTTCTGGGCCGAGCATGGTCGAATGGATAGAAAAGTAGGTACTCGTTTGCCGGATGTGTGAAGTGAAGCGACAAGAACATATGACTGTGCTACAAGTATGTGCTGCGACTGGCAGCATTATGAAACCGAGTCAGATGAGGCAAATACACTCGCACAGCAGGCACCCCGGTGTACATTAGCGGGCACCCCGGTGTACATTGTCAAGAAAATTGTTTCGTCTACGACGAAGGATCCTGTGAATCTGCTGTTAAATCTTGCCTGGAATGTTTGTCAATCGATCCTTCCCCGATCCGATGGCGAAAATGGAAACTGGAGACAGAAGTATAGACTAGGGATGGATATCGCCCATTACAGGGCTACTCACTACCTGGGTCTACCTGGTTTGCCATTTGGCGAACTACTTTACAAGAACGTTAAGCTACTGAGATTCAACTTTTGTTTTTGTTTTTTTTTTTTTTTTGTTTTGAGGACTCACCTAAACATCCTGATAGATAACGCCGTTTAACAGCAGGTGGTTTAGAACAATTGCTGGGACGTGGGGTGTCTACCTGCGTTTTAGATGTGAATATGCGCCACCTGGAATGATGATAGCACAGATCTATAAAGCGGGTTGCTGCCAGAAAGCAATGATCTGTCCGGTAAACGATTTACTGGTACAAAGTTACGCCAAAGGATGGTGTCCGCAGTGTGACTGATCCGGCTAATGCTTTGTACCAGTATGAAGTCAGTGAAAGGTCTTGACAGGAGCTTGAGTCTGAGCAGAATATGTACAAGAAAGAGGATACCGTCCTAATAAGGACTCGCCGAACAGATACTTGAGTAAATGGTGGTCGGGATAGTGTGAGCGGATTTGTGAGTCCCCTAAACGGTTTATGTTGGGGAATGTTGCTCAATGTGAGAGAATATCTGCCCTTTTTAGTTTTATATTTTGAAAATGTTTTCCTTGTTAAAATCTTATAGAATCATGTTTTTGTTTCATAAGCTGCCAGAAGGTCTGCTTGCTTGAACTGTAGATATATAGAAACCCCAGTGTGTTATGAGACACGTGACGGGTCATGATGAAAGTTAATCAATTTTATCCTAATCATGATTAATTACAGGACTGCTTCAATAAAACGAAGTCAATAAAGATCGTGCAATTATTTATCAATATCACAGACTTACTACTCTGTTATGAGAATCTTTTCCTTTTCACATATAATTTTTCTCGACTTTTTTTTTTTTTTTTTGGCTCCCATTTCTCAAGGAAGGATAATGATATTTGTTTTTTTGTTTTTTTCGATCAACCACAGTTACGTGGGATCAAAATGGAGACAAAAAAATTACTTGGTTTCGTTTGCATTTCTTTCACTTTCACGTGATATTTTGAATACTAAGCATATATCAGTTCACGTAGAACAAAAGAAACCTTGCCAACATTTTTATTCAGTTTCGAAAAAGGGACTAGATTCGCAAGGGACTTATGTTTCGAGCCAGAATTACAATTGCTCATGAATAATGCAGTTCTCGTATCTTCTCCCGACGTTTCTTTTACCGCAATTCCTTTTTATTAGATTCATGATATGATTTTTATTACATAACGGACTCCAACTAAGCCACATAGGCTTAAGGCATGTCTCCAGGCCTTGTCACATTACTTGATTCGCCCTGTAACTTGTACAAATTGTAGCCTCTATCATATTACCTTAAAGTGTCATATCAATGTTCGGCGTCAACTTGAAATAGAGGTGAAAGCTGATGACAATACCACCAGGAAAGAATTGTACATGGTTTTTCAAACCATGATGCAATTGTCATTATTTGATTATAAAAGGAAACATAATTGCAATATTTACTGGCGTTAAAGACGTGTTTCTATCAGAAAAAAAAGTCCATAAAATTTACCCCTGCGCTGGGAAGGTTAGTTTCTTATTACGCATTATTTTATATTCGTTCTGTTGTTTGTTTAAATTTTTCCCGTTAAATTTGTGTGTGTTCTCACAGTGTCTTAAAAAAAAAAAACGGATATTATCATACAGTTTCGGAAAAATGGGGGGGGGAAACTAACATTATTAAGCTGTGTTACATATACTTCACAATATATTTATATTGTGATGTATATATAACAGTCTAATAAGGAATGTATAAATATGTTTTTATAATCATATAATACTGTAAACCTCATTATAACAGTATTTCATTATTATAAATCTCTGTGCAACGCATTAGCATTGTGCAAGTGACCGAGTGATTAGAAGACTAGCATTTCGATCATGAAAGCCGGGTTCAGTTCTCACCATGGTCAATTTGTCTATACCGGAATTATTGTGAAGTGCACGAAAACCGTACAATGAGTTGACCCAAGACTTGTGAGTGAAGCTGCTTAGGTAAAACTGTTTAGAATTCGCCGATACTTGTGATAGCACGAAGTTCAAGTCATTGGGAATTTGAGAGCGTACTGGTCTTGTTCGAATACTGATCACGCGGTCTCTTTAAAAAAACAAACTGTCCTCTCAGCATGGTTGTAGTATAAACCACAGTTTGACCCTTACAAGATACAGCCCAAACATGTTTGACTAGGCACCCGCAACAGAAATTAGCTAGTTATCCTAGAAGACGGGCATAATCAGAAACTAGCAGCCAGCCAACGGCAGACCTAGTGTTTGAGACGACTGAAGTTGTTGTAGAATTAGCTAACTCTTTAAACAACATTCCAAAACTGGATATCTACAAAATATAAATATTAAGACCATTTATTTGATTTCAACTGCAAACAGGTAAACTTACAACAACAATAATCGCAACAGACAAACAAGAAAATGGAAAAAAAAACATTGAAACATTGTCGGAGTTACCTCCTCCTTCTGTCCTTGAACCAGCAGAGGAACAGGTCTTTTCGACCTTGACCTCTCATTCATACTCCTCACACTGTTAACACGTCAGAGGGACTAGCAAATCCCCTTTTTTAGTTAGGCTATATTACAAACCTAGGTGTAATATACATCTAGTCATTTTTAGACCATAGTTATCTTTGGCTAACCTTGTAGTATTTTACTATAGAGACTTTTCGGTTAGCTTAGCCAATTTCCCTTGCTGGTCCCCCGCGTCACAAGACAGTGATTTCTCCCTAGATTCGTGGAGGCTGTCGGCGGCCGCAACGGTCGTCTACGCAGGCCCCTTGGCCATCATTGGCCAAGGGCGCCGATCTACGGGCTGTGTATTAAGTTACGCTCCCATTTCTTTTTGTCTGCCAACTTGACGATAGTTGGGAACTTTCTTTCTCTCTCTTCCTTCCCAACACGTCAAGTTGGCATCCAGGCAATGACAAACAACGTTGGCAACACGAACTGCTGCAACAAGTTGGCACTCCGGCAATGACAAACAACGAGTTGGCAACACGAACTACAGCAACAAGTTGGCACCCCGGCAACGACTCAGCTTCAACAACCAACAAAGATCATCCTGGCATCACTCAACATCAACAACCACCAAGCGATCATCCTGGCAACAACCCACATCAGCTTCAACCCCCAACAACGATGATCCTAGCAACTGCCAACCTCGACCATCAATGCCTGCACTAAAACTTCCACGTATCCAGCACTCCTGCAGCATCCGGCTCCTCCTGCGGTATCCAGCACTCCTGCAGCATCCGGCTCACTCCTGCAGCATCCGGCTCACTCCTGCAGTATCCAGCACTCCTGCAGCATCCGGCTCACTCCTGCAGCATCCGGCTCACTCCTGCAGCATCCAGCACCTCCACCGTTTCCGACCATCTTCATTTCCTTTTAGAATAAACCTCTATATATCATATATATCCTCGTTCTGTCGTCCATATTGTTTCACGGTCAGATTTAACGTCTTCAAAAATGTTAGCGGGCCTCTTGTGACCTCGTTCACCCCTTTCCGTGAAACGGGGCCGCTGGACCGCCCGCTACAACATCATAAGAGATACAAGTTGTTTTTTTACTTTTTAGTTAATAGCAATTTTGAGTATAAAATATTAACAGTATCGGCATTATGAAGAATGTCTTCTAATTGTAATTCAATGTGGTGTAATTCGCTTGATCGATTATGATTGAATAGTGAGTTTAATCCTTACTTTCAGCCTTGTGTCACATCAAAGATACGCTTAGAAAATCACCATATAGTAATACTCAAACTAAATGTCCAGTGTATTACTTAGCCATATAGTGAACTTAAGTATAAATGGTACAAGTGGAATAAGAGCAAAACATGTCACAACTAATTTTTCGGGTTATTTCCTTACACTAATTCTCCACAATACGGCTCCCAAAACATGCTACTCAGAGGCAGGCAATCTCAGCTGTCCACAATTTAGGTCTGTCAATGCAGACAGCCATTAGTTTTGTACAAGCCGTTTTTATAATACTAAAATACTGAACTGCAAGCAGTTATTATTTTTTACAGTGACACTATATATATATATATATATATATATATGATTTATATTGACATTGCTTTCAGGTGTAATTTATTTCGTTGTTAATCACTTTTATCAAAACATAAGCTAGATTTTGATAACACTACTAAAAGTATCACATTTTATAATAAAAATATTATATAATTACATTTTAATTTGGTTCCTTTTTATTAGTTACTTATTTCTTGGTCTTGTGTGAAGAAAATAAGACTGATGTTGACGGAATTTATGAACATCCTCTACTGTGGACACACGTCCACAAATTTCCTGATACTTAGATTGCTTGCTATCTAAACGTACATTTTCAAGGCACGTTGAAATGTCAGTGCCTATATTTTGTATTTCAAAACTAATCGCCCCCTTTTCGGATCAGCAGAAACATACAGCAACGTACAGTACGACCTATTTTCTGATGTGTTTTTATTATGTTTTAGGGTTGTCGTTTAGCACAATCTGTACTACAGAGTATCCGATCGAAACCAAAATGATCGCCGTCAGCACCCTTTATTTTAGTATGAAAAAATAGGGAAAAACTTAAGGTATATTTGTTTTGGGCTGGGTTAAGAGATTGTGAAGAATGGAGATCAAGAGACAACAAGGCGCGCCGTAAAAATTACGAGAGATATTCAGTGAGATATAGACCCAAAATAATTTTATTAAAATAAAATCAAATTTTACTAAATATTAGGTTCACATTTCAGTAAATGATTTTAATGCCGTCATCTTTTCCCCAAAACTACGGAGAATCGAAATTTACTCTGAGGGAAAAAAATAATTTTTAACAATAGTCATTTATTTCCGGTTGCAATTTCCTCTTGTTTTAGCTCCCAACAATGCAAGAGTGAATGTGTTAATTAGATTTTAATCTAATTCCTGTTTATACGTTATTTCTTTGTTGACCCTGTGCAAAAAATAACTCTGATGTTGAACGCCAGTTATTAATCACGTTGAATATCATATTTGATTAAAAAAGTAACGTTTTCCGAGTGGAAAGTTACTCATTTAATTGTATTTAAAATATCTTAGTCCTTTTAAATATTTCTCGGTACTTATTTACTATACATGAGGCGCTGTTCAAGACTGTTTTTAAATGATTGCAACACATATCCAGCCAATATTTTTGTTTGTTTTAGAGAAATATAAATTTAATTTTAAAAGATCCTCCTGTCTCCTCATTTCTTCTTTTTATTTTTCTAAACAAGACAACTTGTAGTACAGACTCGTTCGTCTTTTATCTATTTATTTACAGTTTCCGAAAACGTCAGGGGTGAGATTAAAGTAACGAATTTGAAACTTGTCTTCCGTTCGCATGCGAAATGATGCTTACATGTGTGAATACGGTTTTTCTATCAATTATTTAATTTTCATCAAATTGCCAATTCTGACTTGGATAATTTCATATTTGTTAACTTTGGACGTAAACCAACGCAGCGTAAAAAAATAGGTTAGCTAAGACTTTTCATGTAAACAATTACGGAAGATGAAAAGCATATCAATATTTTATTCTTAAAAGAAATGTCTTATTCGAAACTCAATAAAATTTGTTCATTAGTGTTTGTAGGAAAATTTGTTTGTTTGAAAAGGTCTTTTTCCTAATGTAATTGTATAGAATCATATCCGAAGCGAG